CATATTTGTATTAGGTTGTATACTTTTTGTTTTCAAATAATAAAAAAGAAAACAAATGATCAATGAACAAATATTTTCTCCATGTCAAAAAGAGTTTTTCAAAGCTCCACAGTTATTAAAATGTACACCGTTCCAACCTGCAGTAGCTTGTCACAAATATCCAAAGTATAGGAAACATTTTATGCTAATATATAGTCATTAGTGTAAATTTTTAGTATAGTGCAGGATATAAATTTGTAACAGTAAAAACGAGTTATCATCACTTTTAGTGGCGTTAGTATGAAAGTCTTTACATTCATGTTATGTGTACTAGTGTCAGACAGATTGGTACTCTCTCTCCCAGGCTGTGTATCTGTCCATCAGGTTTCGTGCTGAGGGTTTGGTGTGTTCAATCACATTCAGGAAATCAGCTGTTGTTACAGTTTCCAGTTGGATGGCGGGCATGTCTGTGTCATCTGTAAAAGAGAATCACAGTAAGACAGAGAAGATGGCTGTTGTAGAGGTCAATCTTGACATTGTGTGTGTGTGTTGTCCTACCATCCTGATGTGACTCCAGAGCATCAAAGATCTTTCGAACTGGTCTCATGGCAGCTTCCTTACATGCCAATCTTATATCTGAGCCAGAGTAGCCCTCCATCTCCTGGAAATAAAACACACAAATGTACAGATGTACATGAGTGAACACATTTCCTTCCAGATAACATATATGATTTATGAAATATTAATTACAGAAAAATTGTTAAGCATAACGATTAAACACTTGACAAACTCCATACGCACTTTTGCCAGTGCTTCATAGTCTAGCACAGTGCGTAGCTCCACCCCTCCTGTGCAGCTGAGAGGAGGCAGCCAATGAGAAATCATGGCTTGGCGAGCTGGTGAAGAGGGAAGACTCACTAGAATCCGCTTCTCTAACCTCCTCAGCATTGCGTGGTCCAGTTCCCTGAGAGAAGATTTATTAGAAACAAACAAAGGCAGATTTAACTGTCATAATTTTATAGCTGTATTAGTAGTCATCTTTTTGTAATTATACAGCTGTGACTTTGAAATCATAACATCATAATCTTGTGTTTGTCAAGAAAATGAAGGGTCTTTTTTCAAATGCATTCAATGCAAGAAAAATGAATGAATGTTAAAATCAGGCTGAGATGATGCTGGCAATAAATTTACGAGGAAACAGCAAAAATAGTGAGTTGCATTTTTCTGTCTTCCTATTCATTTGTAAATGCAACAGAAGGCCAATAAGTCCAAATGTGCATGTGATTAATCTACCAAGGTAGGTTGGAGGCAGCAAGTACAAAAACCAGGTCATCTGATCTGGCTAGTCCATCCATCTGAACCAGTAACTCAGTCTTCATCCTGCGACTCCCCTCGTGCTCGCCCCTGAAAGCAGTAAACAGAGCTTTTGTGGACAGCAGTAGTGGCACAGCTACATTTTACTGCACTTCGTGGTTGAGCTCACCCCATGCTGCTTCCTCTCTGGCCCATCACTGACTCAAGCTCATCCAGGAAGATGGTGGATGGAGCATGGTACCTGGCCAGCTCAAATAGAACCTACAGACGCATGTATTAAATCATTTACACTAATTAGACACCCCCCCCGAGAATAGTATTCAAACATGTTTTTGTAAAATTCTTCCTATAGCTGACAGCCTACCCTGACCAGTTTCTCAGAGTCTCCCCTCCACTTGCTGACAATGCTGGAAGCTGAGATGTTGAAGAAGGTTGTCTTACACTCTGTAGCTACGGCCTTGGCCAGCAACGTCTTACCTGTACCTGCGTGGGTAAGGGAATGTGAAGTTTTCATAGTGAGCCCCTGACATTTTTTAATATCCTGCACTTGAGTCCTTACCCGGGGGACCATAGAGCAGTAAACCCTTCCATGGAGACAGGATGCCTGTAAAGAGTTGGGGATACTGAGGAGGAAAGACTGAGTCAAAGAATGAGGGGGAAACATGAATAAAACAGTATATATACAACTTGAGTAAATCACATCCTAGCTCAGTATGAGAACACATTGTATTTCCATTTTCAGCACACCAATAGCAAACTGAGCTCTGTGCAAAGAAACCTGATAAGTCTGATTTATAGCTGATCAGTGCTGCAAATACCACACACAACAAATTAGTTTAAATTTTACATGGCATGCCACATGTGTCTTCCTATCCATCTCTGTATCTGTGTTACCATAATATCCCAGGTATAGATTTAATGTCACTCTAATAGACTGGCCTGACCCCACTGCCCTCCTTCTCTTTAAGCCCTTTAAAAGAGATGTATTCAGAATCGAAGATGGGCGACCGGAGCTGAAATACCAGCATGCTCGGGTAGCGGCCGCACCTTAATGGGATAAACGACGGCCTCTTTGACTAATCGCTTGGCATCCTCCAGACCGATGATGTCCTCCCATCGCACATTGGGGCTGTGCAAATAGATGTCCTTTGGAAACATACACACACACACACACACACACACACACACACACACACACACACACACACACAACAGAGAGTGAGTGATGCATGTGGAAGACATAAGCCAGAAATTGGCCCCCCACACACGTCCTGGTTGCGTAAATAGGTGTCTTTTAGAATGAAACATCAGATATGGGAAGTGGATAGAGCCTGGGCCTTCATTAGTACAAAAGATCAATTCATTCAAAACAAAGCCCTCTGCTGCTCTGTAGTGGACACATTCAGCAAGAGTCATATGGAGGATTTTCATATTTTTACATCATATTCCAAGGAACAAATTAAGATAAAATCAGCTTCTCCCCAGGCTTATTAAGGTGTGTGTGTGTGTGTGTGTGTGTGTGTGTGTGTGTGTGTGTGTGTGTGTGTGTTTACCCTGCTGACGATCGTAGCTAGTTCCCTCATCTCACCACTCATTCCAGAAAATCCACTCAGTGGCTTCAGTAGGCGTTCCTGCAACATAGACTTTTTATTATTATCAGTAGACATTTTGTACTTTTTGTAGCCTTCAAATAGTTTTTATTTTGGACAATTCAGACTGTTACCAAAATATATTTTTACACGTTTCACAGTTGTTTGAATCTTAACTGAATATGACCTTTTTTATAAGTCAGTTTAGCTCAAAGGCTCCAGCATAATTACCATATGGTCTGAATCAATCCCAGCTCCTCTGACAGCATCCTGGATTGCACCTTTGGCATCAGTCATCTGCCCCCAAGATACATAAGAGAACATAATAGGAACAAAAGTGACAGCGGTAATTTTGTTTTAAAAAAGGTGAGGACTTCTTTTTTATGTTTTTGCATTTGGCACGGCCAAATCAACCCCAGATCATAAAGGTGCTGGTTTATGTTGTAATGAATTAAACATAAACAATTTTGTTAGCATCCTGCTGCAGCATCATCGTAAAATGAAAACAGTCTCATAAATGTCATACAAGAAAAAAATGTGATTAACTTCAATTGGGACGATGAGGTTTGCTTCTGTTCTCAGAGTATTCACTTCTCCAGTACCTTCCTGTTTGTGGCACACTCTCCAGCTGGTGCATTTTTGATGGAGGATACGCTGAGACCAAAGTCCGATGACTGTGGAGCAAGATAGATGCCATTCTCCTAGGAAATTAACATAAATGTCAGAATAATTGCTAGCTAGAGTACAAAGTTGTTTTGATTTGACTTCATTTTTCCACATTTGCCTGTACACTAGTGGTTGGCTTCTTTGCTCCAGTTCCTGTGTTTGTGTTCCGGGAAGGGTTGATTTCTGGAAGGGGTTTCACAGCTGAACGGGGACTCCTGGGACAAATAAAAAACAAAACACATGTATTTTTTGTTTTTTTTAACTGTCATGCATGGACTAGCAGCATGGCAGACTCACTTATTGTTATATATTCAGGTGGGAATCACCAGACACACCCATGATACAATATTATCACAATACTTCACTCATAATTATTGTGATTTTTAACATTTTGTGACATGCTGAGTTTTGCAATAACATATTTGCAATTTATCACCCATTTCAACTACAAATTATCTCCTCAAAGTTCAACTTGTCAATATCTGTTTTATGCAATAAGTTTTTGTTTTTTCTGCCCTAAATGTCGCCATATGACAGTGTCTGTGTTGCTTTATCGATACAATACTGCCACCGAAAATACTGAGATTCGATGTTGTATCGATTTTTCCCCACCTCTACTGTGAGCATGTATGCACAGCATACTTGGCCCGTGACTGACTCACCTCTTAGTTGCACTACGTGTTGGATATTTTCTTTCACCTGGACAGAAAAAAATATCAGAAAAAAACATGCTAAGACTATAAGTTAGTTTTTAATAATTTTACAGAGCATGAGATATAATTTTCATTGCTTCTCAGTGTTTCAGCAGAGTTCTTGTACCTGCTTCTGCTATTCTTCTGATAAGTTTGGGATACTTCTGGAATTTGACGTAGTGGTAGCTCTCATACTCCATCAACACCATCTCCAGATCGATGTTATCGCTAACCTCGAACCTCCTCACACCTCCATTTGTCTCTTGATCCAAGGCAACTGCTGCAGCTACATAGCTGGTGGACAGACACATTGCAAGGAACAGATTTTTGATGTGCTTGTCTTGATGAATTGCACTTCACTTTTTCTATACAGACATACAAATATGACCTTTTGGTTGGTTTGTTACCACTTATTCAATAATAAACCAGCAATGCCATTTTGCATTATGCCATTCTGTTTTGAAGTAACAAAGAGTGAATTTATGTATTCTACTTGCTCTGATCAAAGAAACTCAGCCACCTGTTTTAAAAGTCCATATCTAAACCTGATGCTAAAAATGTATTTAAAAGAAAAGTTAATCTTTTTGATCACCACTTGATGCATCCACACACACACAATTTTATACTGACCCTTGCCCCAGCAGGTGGTGATAGATGAGGATGAGGAGACTTTTCTTCCTCATCTCAGTCCTCTGCTCATCCTGTTGGACAGCAACAAGAACAGCAACAAGAAGAGGACAAAAGGGGAATTCAAATGGAGCTGTTATATGAGAAAAAACTACCAAATAATATTGTTCAATTTGTCACAGGTGTCATGAAGAACAGATATCGTCTAATAAAGACCAATACAGTTCCCCCAAAAGCAAAATATTTTAGAAGAATATTAGGATTTTTTTAACAGAAGGATATGAAGTGTCACAACTTATGGATAAACAAAACTTTAAAGTGAATCACTGAAATGCAAAGAAATTAGCCACTCCATATACAGGTTATAGCAAGATATAACATTTTACAGTATTATTTTAGGCCATGATGCTATGCATAATAGCAAAAGCATTACACAAGTGAGCCACAGCACTCAACAAATACTGGTTGGAACTCCATTCGTTCATCCTTTTACTTCGCCTTATCCAATCAGGGTCACCATTAGGCTGGAGTCTGTACCAGCTGTTATATAGTGAGAGGCATGGTACACCGTGGACATGCTGCCAACCTAACGCAGGGCTAACACATTCCTATCTTATGATCAAGTTAAGAGTCATTGATTAAACTAATGTCCATGTGTTTGAATTGTGGGAGGAAGCCAGAGTAGCTGAAGAGAACCCACACAGACACGAGGAGAACATCCAAACTCCACACAGAGACATGCCAGCTGGCCTGTGGATAGACCTCTTTGGGAGGCAAAACTCTTTACCACTGTGCTACCCACGGGCTTTAACTGTATGCCTAATTTCAGTAAAGATGCAAGTCTCAAGAACTGTACTTCTTTAAGCTTGTGAAAATTCCCACTATTGGTTAAATACCTTGCACCCTCCACCTGTTGTTTTTAGAACTTAAGAAACCTCTCGGGTGAAAGATGAAAAACATCATCAAACTTAAAGAAGTCCAACTGCTTTTTTTTTTTTTACAAGTTCTTAAAGACTGCCATGACCTGGATGACTAAGAACCTGCACAGACAATAAAGATGGAAATGACACTCCCTAAAGTATTTATTTATGTCTGTGGGCTAACTAAAAGTAGCCACTAATTATCAACTAACGAGTTAGCCTGTGCTCGTTAATGCTTCAGTTCTCTTCTCTTCCCTGGTTCAAACATGTGGAGGAGGAATATTTTATATTGGGCTGGAAATACAGGGAAAACACAGTTGCCAGCAGAGGGAGCCAGCCAACCACAAACAACAACCAGTTGACGCTGTCTCTAGGCAACCAGTGAGTGCATGCAGAACTTAACGATTAGCTCGACGGCTAACTACCACGCTCGTGAAAGCGACAATATAGAAATCCCATCACATGTGTAAAATAAATCGACCAACACCTGGATACATATGCCTTTAGTTTAACACTGCTTACAGTACCAGACAGTTCAGTGCCCATCTGTTCACTGCCACTGCTAGTTAGTCACAAGCTGATATCTGAAAACATTTGTGCTTCAAATTTGCGTAAAACAACAAGAAACAAAAGCCCGTGTTCACTCACCGCCTCTCGGGCCTGGTGGGCGACTTTCATTGACTGATAATTGAGCTCCATTACTGTTGTAAAAATTTCGTAAGGTCGGTATTATTCGTTAGGTGATGGTGAAGTTGGTCTACCGCGTAGTTCTGTCGGGTCTTACGTTCCCCTCGGGGCTACCGTACTTAAGAGTATGCCTCTTCTGTGAAGCAGCAACGGTGGTAAAGAAAAGCATCACCTATGCTTACTTTGAGAATTTAGAAAAATCTCAATGACCAAATGTTTCATTGACTTAAAGTTTTGCAAAAATGAGATGTTAAAAGCTCTTTAAAAGCTAGAATGCTAAAGTTTTTTTTATTTTTTTATTGTTAGGTTTCATTAAACCGCAATATCTTAACTGCCTATATTGCACTTTTGTACTCAATCACAAATGTTTTCCAAGTTTGACATATAGCCTACTACCTTTTACTCTGATGTTATTATCTTTTGAAAGCCTCCTGTAGAGCTCACATTTGATTTCTTTTTAGGTTGAAACTGATCAGTTGATGTATGTCATCCTGATTATCTCCACTAGAGAACAGAAGAGATCTATATAACATGCAAGTCACAGCGGTACTATAAAAGGACACCATTTTAAGCTACTTTAATTTATCAGAATGTGTGTGAGTGTTTTGTAAATGTGAATATGGGTGATGAATAGATCCGTTTTGGCTGTCTGGTTTTTGAGGGCATGCTTGTGTCCATCCTTAGTAACTATTGTGCTCTAAATCTTTGTGTGCATGTGTGTCTCCAGGGGCAGACATACACACAGAGACATCTATTTGCACAACTCCAGCAACCAGTGGGAGGACATAAACACCCTGGAATAAGCCAAACAATTAGTTAAAAAGAGCGTTGTCTATCCCATTAGGTGCAGCTCCTGCTCAGTCACGCTGGTATTTCAGCACTGGTTGCCCAGCTTCGATTCTGAATAAATCTCCCCCAAAGAGCTTAAAGAGCAAAACGGTAATGAGGTCAAGCCAGTCTGTTAGGCTGACATTAAACCTATATTTAAGATAACACGGTAACACACACACAATAGACTAGCAGGAATAAGGGAATATTAAAGTATATGCATTTGTTGAAAACTTTAATAGGTACACCTGTTCAGTGATTGGTAGTGCAATTATCTAATCAGACAATGACATGTCAGCAGCTCATGGCATCTAGGCATGTAGATGCCATCAAGATGACATGTCAAGGTCACGAGCAGATGGTAGCCAGAATTTGCAATAAACAACATGAAAGGGTGCCAGTGGTATAAAGTTGCACTCAAAAAAATAATTCATTGGATGAACGTAATTTTATCTTGCCACTTATATTCCATCTAAACAAATCATGTTATATTAATCCATCTTGATTGTGTTGTCTCAACACGATATATGTGTGTAGGTTTAACATAATATTAACATTAACATTCAATTAATTAGACTTTTGTTCAATCAACATGTTTGCACCACGTTAGTCTAATTAAATTTATTTAAATCCATATTATATTGTTTAAACACTTTGGCACATCAAAAATCAGTCTTGTTACATGAACTAGTAAAATATTTGTTTGTTACACCAATGATAATCTTGTTGAATGAATGAAATGTAACTTATGTCTGTAGTACATGTTGTATTCATATTAAGTAATGTTCAACCAAAAAAAAAATATCAATGGATTTACAGCAACTTCCAATCCACCCATCTTCTTAGCTTTATCTGGGCTGCGGAAGTGATAGGGCAAGAGGGACAGGGTACATCCTGGACAGGTCGCCAGTCAATCATACAGAGACAAACAATCATTTGCACTTTAACACCTTTGGGCAATTTAGAATAAAGTTACCCTTACAACTGCATGACTTTTAACTATGGAGGAAACCAGAGTACGCAGAGAGAACCCACTGCAAACTTCGCCACATTGTGGATTTGAACCCAGGATCTTCTTCCTATGAGGCAACAGCACGAACCACCATGGCATTAATCTGTCAATACAGACTTAACAAAAGTAGGAAAGCTATGCTTGATGATGCTTTATGTTGTTGTTCTTGACAAGTTAAACCATAAGAAATAGTAACAGCATACACGTGGTGTGGTTGTCTTCCTCTTGTAACCCCACTGATTTTCCTGTGGTTTGACATAATGTGATCTTGTGAATTTCGTGAGTCGACCCCCAAAATGAAATTGGGTGGTTGTTACATGCATAAGATCCAAACTTGTAATTTGAACTAAATAATTCCATGTTTTTATGGTGAACGTAATTAAATCATGTAGCATCTGCATGAAATTCAGCAACTTAATTTGTTCTTGTTGAGATGACATCATACAATCTAGTAAGAGCGGTTAGTTGCCTGGATCCAGCCACTCTTACTAGATTGTATGATGTCATCTCAACAAGAACAAATTAAGTTGCTGAATTTCATGCAGATGCTACATGATTTAATTACGTTCACCATAAAAACATGGAATTATTTAGTTCAAATTACAAGTTTGGATCTTATGCATGTAACAACCACCCAATTTCATTTTTTTGAGTGTGTGTGGGATATTTTCTTGGCACAATTTGGACACTTCAGTACCAACTGAGCGTTGCTGATGCCCATGCCTTTGTGAGTACAGTGTACCCATCTTCTAATGGCTGCTTCCAACAGGATAGCACACCATGTCACAAAGCAGCTCAGATAAAAAAATTTCTTGAACATAACAATCAGTTCACTTTACTAAAATGGACTCTACAGTCACAGGTCTCAATCCAGTAGAGCACCTTTTGGGATATGCTGTGATGGGAGGTTTGTGTCACAGATGTGCACGTAATACATTTGAAGCAACTGTGTGATGCTCTAATGCCAATGTTGACCAAAATCACTGAGGAATACTTCAGAAGGCAAATGGGAGTTCAACACAGTACTAGCAAGCAGTACCTAATTGTCTAATGTGTGTATAATATATACAGTATATATAAATAGGTGAACAAGCAACAGCAAGGATATTCTACAGCTTTAAGCAAATGTACAACACAAATGCCTATCACATGTGGTCACAAATTTTGAAGCCATCCTGATAACCTTCTCCCACCAACGATGTGGAGATCCAACCTCTTTTAGATCCAATTAAAATCAAGACACTCAAAAAGATGCTCTGGAAAAGAGTAGAATTCTTGGAACAGAGTTTAATACACTGAATCATATGAACAGCAGGAAAAATACATACAGACATTTAGCAAGAGAATTACAAAGCAGAAAACAAGCAAAGCAAAACCCCAGGGTATACAGCCTTAAGCACAGACAGCAGAGCAACACAGAGGCAGACAGAGAGAAACAGCAGAGGGGAAAAAGTGCTGGGGTGTCTTCTGGTCCCCTGATAGATAGGGACCAGTATCCCCGCCCCCTGCTGCTGGGTAACTTTCCCACCCGTCCAAACACAGCTGCAGGGTTCAGGTAGTGGCCAAGGTCTTGGCCAGAGGCCAGTCAGGACTCCAGCTACCCTTTGGCTTTGGCTTATCACAATAGGTCATTACACGGTCAAACATCACACATTAATCCTAATTATTAAATCTTGGAAAAAACACTTCAGTGTAGGTTCATGTGTGTGTGTGTGTGATTATATCGTATGATATTTTAGTTGTGATGTGTTCAGGATCTCTGTTACAATATTTTTAGGTTTTAGCTTCTGTGAAGGACTTTGTGATTTTTATCTTGAAAGATGCTATATAAATAAAGTTTTACTTACTTACTTTTACTTATTCTTTTGGTTGTACTTCATGAAAGACATTGAGTGTGTATTAGGGAAGGTTAGTTACCGGAGCTGGAGAGTGAGTTATTTAGGCGAACTCTCAACAGTATTAAGTGCCCTGTTACTGTAAAACCTTAATAAACCTCGGTGAAGCAAAATGTCTTGTGCTTAAGACTCTACATGAAAGTTAAAATATGTATGTTCAGTGCACATAGATATATAGTGTATATAGTTACCTAGTTATACATATCACACAAAAATCCACCACACACCTCTGTGTATATGAAACACAACCAGGTTGCCTGAGACATTTACAGACAGAGACGAGGACTGATATGTTTGTCTTCTCATCTGATGACCAGATTTATTAAATACCATCTGACCATTGAGTATTTACAATAGAGGATTTGGAGTGTCAAGCTTCAGATTTCACTCATCTTGTGTTTAGCATTGGAGCATCATGGCAAAGGCACTTTTTATGGATTCAATACCATTGCAATGAAATATTAAATGTCATTTCACAATTCTATTATGAATAAGGCAGCCAAGATCAAATATTGACAGCTACTGTTTATATGCCAGTCGTCCTCTCATTGCCTTGATTAAATACACAGTATAGAGAGAAATAAGCAAAACACACTTCTATTAAGTTCAAAGACATTTATTTCTTTTGGCACCGTCAGTTTCATTCTTAACCCCGAGTAAATTGCACATCTGGTACAGTATTACAATTCATCTGAGAATGCACTGCTACTGCTACTGCTTCTAATTAACATCAGTTAGGGTAGTAACAGCACATTTTCACTAGACTAGAAACCCTACATAGCTCTTAGTAAGTTCAGCCATTAGCCTGAAAATAAGGCTGTTTTACATGAAAAGATACAAACTGAGAATACAATCAGCAGCAGTGTAAAACACCACAATTACATTTATCCACCGTGCTACAATAGGATGTAGATATTTAGCCCTCCCAGTGGGCCAGTGCAAAATTCAAGACCAGGAACGGAAGTTGCAGATACTGAAGCCAAGTAGCTTGGTCAGAGTCCAGTATTATTCAAGTTAATTTATAGGCTATTTGAGCTCAGAACATTTTTGACAAAAAAAAAAAGTTATCACGTTTACATAATTAAACCATTCTGTAAAATTAGAAAATGACAGAATTACAGGTAAACCTAGCAGAAGTCTGTAGTATGATACAACCGTGTTTTCCCATTTTCTTACCTTAAATGACTTGCACAAACATTTTAAAGAGTTTCTCCAAATAACATCATTGGTGTCCTACCACAGTATGTACAGTATGTGATGTAAATGTTTTTGCTTTATAGTTTGAAAGGATTTCAGTTTTCCACCTTAATCTCCACAGTTCTGAGATAAAAAAAAAAAAATAAAAAAAAATAAATGTCAAAACCACACACATCTAGTCAGAAGATTTGGTGGTTGCCACAATGATGTAGCTCTGAAGATGAGCTCCAGCAGAGACAGGTTAACATAAAAATAAAACCACCAAGGTTCGCACAGCTGACAAGACGAGAGCTTTCATTAGCATATCCTCCCAGGTTTTTAACACCTTCAAAAGACACACGGTACACAAAAGGTGAGCTTTGAATCGGTAAATGGTGGCCAATGCCAAGAGAAGCTTTAAAAGCAAAGAACAGAATTTCTCTTTTTTGCATCTTCTCACCGAGAGTAGCTTAGAGAGCCCGAATCCTAATGCAGCTACATTTACAATAGACCTCATCTGCAGAGAATCTGCACGAAGTGGAAATTGGCATCTAATAAGAAAATAGTGACTTTAGCTGTGCATTATATACATTACTGTAGGTTTTACAATCCAGATTAAACATTGCATATTTGTTTTGAAAGATTTTCCTTGGCCTGCAAAAAAACACTTTGAATATCAGTATTTATTTGTAAAAATCATTGGTTATGAAGAAGTAAACACAACCAAACCTGGCTGCATATATTGCCTTATTTTTATCAGAAGAATGATAGATTTGGCAAAATAAGCTTTAAGGCTTTCATCTTTAAATTGGATCCTAATAATATGGATTTTCTTTCCTTTTATTAGTCATTCTGACTCTGGAGGCAGTCTGAGCTCTCAGTGGAATGTTTAATGACCCGATGCTTAGTTTCACTGTTAAAATCGAGGTAAAGTAAGGAAGGCTGCCATTCAGAATGCAATGTTTGTTTGGGTGATTTGGCTCAGTTTGAAATCTCATGCCAAATGTTACGGTGAAATGGAGTAAGACATTTTCTTTTGCATAGCCTTTATGAGGGTCAAGAGCATCAATGAAGATGATCAACTGTACCAATGTAAATTTGGATTGTCTACAATTTCATATAAAAATATTAAATGTCAGCACTCTGAATTATCAGCAAGTCTCTCCTCTACCACTAGTGGTTGGGAAGAAAATGTCACAGCACAAGATTTGATGGTAATGTCCATGTGCAATCATCTAGGACTCTATTTTGCCTTAGAAAACTCCAGCTTCTGTAAGTAGTGTACCAGCCTCAAGTAGCAAACCCTTCATGTAGACATTAAAAGTGTAGTACATTGTGAGGAAGTCCTGGGTGCTGAAAAAGGTGTCTGCTAAAGCAAAGCCCAGCGTGGAAGGGATGAATCCTCTGCCATACTCCACCATCCAAGTCCCGGCACTCCACTGAACTGACGTAGCCTCTCCTACAGCATGCACAATAGTGTCACCTGTGGGTAAAGAATATGAAAGAACAGGAAAAAAAAAAATTACTACTACTACTACTACTACTACTACTACTACTACTACTACTACTACTACTACTACTACTACTACTACTACCCAATAATACTACAGGAGTTTAGCTAATAACATACTGTCCTGTGAAAACTTATTTACCAACAGCCTGATTTTTTTCTCTTTTGCATATTGTTACACTTTTCAGGTAATCAAATTTTAACATTAGACAAAGATAAAGTAAATTAAAATGTGGTTTAAATTCTTTTATTTAAAATGGGAAGCTATCCAGAGCTACCTGGCCCGATGTGACAAAAAATAAATACCCCCTCTTTAGGGCTGCACGATTAATCGTTAGAAAATCGCGATCTCGATTCATACTTATGTGCGATCTCATTTCCAAATGACAACGATTTAAAACGAGGGATTTAGGATTTAGGAAAATGATCAACACCCTAGACAAACGCTACACAGTGCCGTCCCGCAACTATTTTTCTATCGTTGCACTACCTGCTCTATACACGCAGCGTCGAGCAATGGTGGAGACGGAATTTCAAGCAGTACAACACTTTGCGGCAACAACAAAACGTGAGACATTTGTTGTTTTTATGTTTATTTATTGTTTTTATGTTCAGTCTCAACTGTTACGAAGTGCAGTTAATAAGTGCAATAAATATTTATACTGGAAAAGAAAATCGTGAGAGAATCGTGATCTCAATTCTAAGTCAAAAAAAAATAAAATAAATCATGACTCTCATTTTATGCAAAATCGTGCAGCCCTACCCCTCTTGTTAAATCATAAGAGGGTAATTAACCAGTTTAATTTCAGTAGTCACACACAGGCCTGATTTCTGCCAGACCTGATGAATCAAGAAATCACTTAAACAGAATCTGTTTCACAAAGTGAAGTCCTCTAAAAGATCTCAAAAAGCAACATATCATGCCACAATCTAAAGAAATTCAAGAACAGATGAGAAACAAAGTCATTGACATCTATTAGTGTGGAAAGGGTACAAAGCTGTTTTTGAGACTTTGGAACTCCAAAGAACGAGCCATTATCCATGAATGGAGAAAACTTGAAATCGGAATTTTCCAAGAGTAGGCAGGTTACCAAAAATACTGCAAGATGACTTGTGCCTCAATGACTATTCCCGGAGGTCACAAAAGAACCCAGAACAACATTTGGCAAAAACATCTTGATCCTCAATCCTCAAGGGAAAATATTTTAGTGAAGTATTGAAGAAGTTTAACATTTTGGAGGGTTTACGTCCCATTACATCTGTTTAAAAAAAATAAAATAACATACTATTTCATGAAAAGAACATCATCCTAACAGTCAAACATGGTGGTGGTACTGTGATGGTCTGGGGCTGCTTTAGGAACTGAACAACTTGCCATATTTAAAATCATCATTCCTGCTCTCTATCAAAAAATCTTGAAAGAAAATGTCCAGCCAATTTGTGCAAAAAAAAAAAAAAAAAAAAAAAAACAAACGCAAAAAAATATTATAGTTATTGAGATACATTAAAGTTTCCATTGTGTATAAATGCAAAATTGAATATTGTAATGAGTTAATGCATTACCAGGATAGTATATTTCACTCTTGGTTGTCCCCTCTTTCCACTGTCTGAAGGTTCCAGAAATGATGGTATCAGAAATCTCAGCCCAATAACGACCTGAGAGAAACAGCAAGATGCAAAGAGTCAAAATGATACAATTCAGAGTATTTATAGTTTTCTAAACATACAATTCCAATAGTCTTCTGTAAATCATGTCACAAATCAAATATTATTGTTGGGACCAAGAATGGGACTATATATATCAGCATCTCCTAGATTGCAAGGATCAAGTTGTAGCCCACTGTGCAACATTGTAAGGACTTGGACTGGAATGGGGGTGCTTCAGACTGACTTCACTTTAGAGCATAAGAGGGGCAATTCATTCCTTCATATCTGACACCATACTGTAAATAACTCCAGCAGATTTCAACTTTGAGATCAGAGTATCCTGCTCTAGAGTAACTTGTTCCCCAAAACCATTATGTCTGCAGATGTTTACGTCAACTTACACAAAAAAAACTTTTTTTGGAGCTGATCCATCTATGTATCTCTCTTTAACTGCTCTCCTTCCTCACCTGAGTGTCCTCCAGTGTCCACCGCAGTGCCAAACAGTATCAAGTACTCTGTGAGAGAGGCATGGAGGACACACATGGAGCCCATCCAGCCTCCAGCATTTACAAACACCCACTGCAAGTCCTCATCAGGGAGGATGTGTCCAGGATACCTAGTTCAAATATACTTTGTTAGCCATTTATTTAACGTTAAAAAACTGATTAATAATCTGAATACCAAGTGAGAGTTTTCAGTGCAAATTTACCAGTTTTGAGTTTTAGTAGGAAAATCGGAGGAAAGTACCTCAAGGTCAAAGAAATCATTATGGACAACTTTCACTTTGGCTTTATTTTAGACTACACCAATTTTTCATACAGTATTAAAAAATGAAAGTGAATAAGACATCCATACTACACCAAGAAAAAATGAAGTGAAATGAGCACATGCTGAAGAGATAAGTTGCATCATGTTGCAGCTAATAAGTAGCTTAAACAACCTAATAGTGATGGAAATTGTACAGAAGCAACCACAAGCTGCCTGATACATGCAAGCCTGCATGTAACGGTATCGTTACCTTTTTCTCAGCTCCACCACCACTTTGGAGAAAGCCTGCTCATGGTCCTGTCCTGAGAACAGACACATTTAAAATGCACAGGGCATGCAGATATGGCAGTTCAGGCAACCAAAATTAGCTTCGCTTTAAATATAAACGAAATGAAGTGGCAACTTCTTTCACATGCAAACCCAAACTCACCTGCATACTGTTTGGCCAATTTGGCGACGTCTTCTTTGTTGAACACATACTGCTTGCTGGCCAACCAATACCGCAACAACAGCACGGTCAGGACGATGACTCCGGCGAACACCAGAAGTCTTAAAATGATTTTGAGCAGGGACATGGCTGAAACAAAACGCACAGACAGGTTTGGCTACATGCATATAGGGAGGCGGACTGGCGTGGTGCTCCGCTCACAGCCTCTTCCTGGTCAGGTGAGGGAGGGAACTTTACGCTTAGCCAATCATGGGCCGAGTCAGCAGCGTAGGCAGCGCGCGACTCCAGGGTTGCCAGCACAATGCAAAACCGTCTTTTTCTAGTTTGCATTAAAATATCATATTTAAAAAAAAACAGTTGACCAAAGCTAAACATTTCAGGCTGCTGTATTGGGTGGTAACAGTCTAATGACCAATTATCCTTAGTTTGACGTTTTCAGTCTTATTTACTTACTCATTTGTTTAGATTTTTAGAAGTGTGCCATTGCATACCGGCTTGTGCACAATAGCAACCTTTCGCTTGTCAACAAAACAGGAAGTAGGCCAAGGTTTGTTGTGGACCGTGTTGATTTAGCGTCATACGCTAAAGTCCAGACAAAGCTCGTGGTTCAAAAAAAGAACACCGGGGAGGAGACAGCTGTGAAACAGTGAGTTACCGACATGAGCGGGAAGCAAGACGTCAGTTTTGACCCAAAAGGTACGCATTTTTTGTGAATTTACAAACGTTAAAAAGCTAATTTCAATCACTCACTATATTCAATGACAGACACTGGATAATGAGTAGGACTTCTTAAATTTGTCAGTTTGCCTTAATGTTTAAGCGTCAAAATGACTTCTGTAATTTCCCGAGTTCTTCATTATTGTTTACCAAAAAGGTACTGCACTGGAAACAGTTAAAGCTAAAATGCATTCAGTCATGCTTCGGGGCTTGTTCACTACTCGATTTCACTGGTAGGTTATAGGAGTTTACACAAAGTCTTTAGTTATGTTGTACCCTGCACTTTTTCCCCTGTCGGCCTGACAGACATGCTGACTCTGCCAGCTGTCTTGTGACTGTAGTTCCTGTAGTTCATGTTGTAGCTACAAAACCTGCTCCTGAATGCTTTTTGAGGTGTTTCTTATAAGTAATAGTAAATGTTTAAATCGGGAATGTCAAACTCATTTTACATCGTGGGTAAGATGCACCCAACTTTGATCTGTCACTGTAAAAAAGTTTGATACACAAATTAAACCTTGAGATATTTTAATATAAGAAAAAAGTGCAGTTTCAAATTCAAATTTTATTTGTCACACACACACACAACCATACACAGTATGACATGAGGTGAAATGCTTGTAGCTGTGCAATGCAATGCCCGACCATTAAATGACAGTGGTTTTACAGTATTTACAATTTACAGGTTATTACAAAATTTACAGATTTAACTTAGAAATTTACAGTAAAAAAATGTGCAAGTAGCAGAAAGAGGTTATACATTATAGGAAGTGTGCATGAAGAAAAACCAGAGTGCGTGTGGTGATGTGATGTGTGTGAGAGTCCAGTCTTATAGTGACGTGTGTGGGAGAGTCCAGTGCTACACCTGGTTCAGGGCCCGAATAGCCTGGGGGAAGAAGCTCCTCCTCATTCTCTCTGTTTTGGCCTTAAGGGAGCGGAAGCGCTTCCCAGACCTCAACAGTGAGAAGAGTCCATTGTTGGGATGGGAGAGGTCCATCATAATCTTCCTAGCTTTGGTCTTGCACCGCTTGGTGTAGATGGACAGCAAGTCAGGGAGCTCTGGTTGAATGATGCGTTCGGCTGAGCGCACCACTCTTTGCAGATCTCGTCTGTCCTGCTTGGTGCTGTTCCCAAACCAGGTGCAGATGTTTCCCGTCAGGACACTCTCGATGGTGCAGGAGTAAAAGTTCTTGAGCACCTTCTGAGGAAGAAGAGACGCTGACGGGCTTTCTTAACCAGGGTGTTGATGTGACAGGCCCATGACAGGTCCTGAGTGATGTGGACACCCAGGTATCGGAAACCGTCCACTCTCTCCACTGGCGTGCCACTGATGACGAGGGGCTTGTAATTCCTCGCCTGCTTTGTAGTGAAGTCCACGATCAGCTCCTTAGTCTTGCTGACGTTTAGGAAGAGGTTATTCTCCTGGCAAAGGAAATCACCATTTTTCTACATGGTAAATAACCTTTTCTGTAGTGATTTAAAGAAATTGTAAGAAATAAATGTGTAAAATTACAGAAAAAGTATAAAACACAAAGATTTTTGTTTTGTTTTTTTTACGGAAAATGTCCTTTTTTGTGTACCCATTGTGAAAAATACCCAGACATTTCTATTGAACAAAAAGGAACTTCCTGTTGTTTAATTTAATTTTCTATCTGTTACCTAATTCCTTTGGTGTAGCATGGCCCATAGGGGAGGTTTTTTGTTATTAAAGCTGTGAAACGTATGAAAATAAAGTTAAAAGTCCAAGATTTATGCCTTCCTTCACACTTTCCAAAGCTGTCCAGTAGGTCTGCTCGATTATGGCAAAAATGATAATCACGATTATTTTCACTGAAATTGAGATCTCGATTATTTGACGATATTTATTTAACAACAACAATGTATTGAATAATGACTTTAAAGATTGTCAAAAAATAATATAAAATAGTGTGCAAATACTGATAACAGTGCAAATGTTTGCAATATAAAAAATAAATGAAAAATGTAAACATCTATGTTTAGTGAACTTTGCAGTGTTGCTTTGTGGTGCCGCTACAACATTGTAGCAAAGTTTACACACTATATCTACTTGATCCACACCTGACTCCGCGAACCCATAATGTTTCCACACCACTGAAGTTTTTATACCTCTCTTTTCAACCAGCGGCAGTCACTCTCCTCTCCAAATAACTTCTGCTTAGCTTTCCGAGCTTCCCTCGGGTCCTCTTAATCAGCGGTCCCCAACCCCCGGGCCTCGGACCGGTACTGGTCCGTGAGTCGTTTGGTACCGGGCCGCGAGAGTTGAGGCTTAGGTGTGAAATGTATAGTTTTCAGGGTTTTTATCGGTTTTCAGCGTTATTTTGTTATCGCTTTTATCGTTTACTCTGTTTTGCTGGGTCTTTTCATGTGTGTTATGAATAAAAAATTTTTTTTTTGGTACAGGTACTAGTTTTATTCTGTTGTATTTATCCGCGACACCTTAAAGGCCGGTCCATGAAAATAGTGTCGGGCATAAACTGGTCCGTGGGGCAAAAAAGGTTGGAGACCTATGGGCTCAAAATGTGGTCATAAATATTTTGTACTTGTAAATCAGTTTTGTACTTGTAAATCAGGATTTGTATGTGTAAAAAGAATTTGTGTGCGTGTGTAAAAAAGATTTGTGTGTGTGTAAAAAAGATTTGTGCGTGCGTAAAAAAAGATTTGTGTGTGCATAAAAAAGATTTGTGTGTGGACTTGTAACCCTGCAAGTTACAAGTATGAATTTTGACCCTATTTTTCTTCCTTTCATCTGATTGGTGAATGTCATGTCAATCACAAATGTAACAATCCAATCAGAGAACAGATGGGTTTGGCTGTCGGAGGGGTGCTTTTTTTGAACTGCAGGTCCTTGAAGGGAATAAATGCCCTTTTACATGCCAACCCAGCGTTTTCCTTCATCACCACGAAGGAAAACAGTCTGTGGTCGTCCGAGTTTGGTGATTTTTGTGTCCCAGGACTACGTGTTTAATACAGGGACTTCCACAGCCTTTTCAACAGCGCTGCGGACGCAGGGGGGGGGCAGTGTTTTGGAAATGACGGTCTTCATTACAAAGCTTTCTTCGTTATGAATTAGCATACGTTTTTTTTTTTTTTTGAACATTTGAAGAACTAGCAAAAAAACCCCACAAACTCTTGTAGTTCACATAAAGTCAGAGATAAAAACGACAAGGAGCAGGTGCATCTAGTACAGGTAGAGCTGCTGCAAAAACCCACAGAGCTCAGCAGCCAGCAACAAATTCTGGATCCTTTGCTTTTAGTTAGCAGTTAGCATTAGCAGCACATCCTGCGTCCGATGTGAAAGGACTTTTATGCTGCGCGCTGTGACTCACAGCAATGGTCCTGGGTCAGCCCTGACTTTGTGTTAAACTAATCCTAAAGTAATAATGTATTTCTAACCACTGACATGCCACAACTTTATCCTTTCAACAGCTGCTGAAAGTAAGGGGACCTAACTGCTATCGGATATTTATATAGAGATTACCCTTCAAGGACCTGCAGTTCAAAAAAGTGCCCCTCCGACAGCCAAACCCATCTGTTCTCTGATTGGATTGTTTAATTTGTGATTGACATGACATTGAGCAATCAGCTTAAAGGAAGAAAAATAGGATCAAAATTCGTATTTGTAATTTGCAGGGTTTTTTTGGGCTAAGTCCACACACAAATCTTTTTTACACATACAAATCTTTTTTATGCACGCACAAATCTTTTTTACACATACAAATCTTTTTTACGCACGCACAAATTTTTTTTTTTACACATACAAATCTTTTTTACAAGTACAAAACCGATTTACAAGTACAAAATATTTATGACCACATTTTGAGCCCATAGAGACTGCTGCTCTTAATTGTTGTGACATGTGTTCGAAATGCAGAGAGGTGCGCTCGATTTGCCACACGGAGCAGCGCGAGAGTAAAGCACGAGGGAGGGGCTAATAATCGGCTCAGTCATTTTTAATGATCGTTGAAAGCCCAGATCGTAATCGTGATTAAAATTCGATTAATTGATCAGCCCCACTGTCCAGTGGGGCCAGATTGGAGTCTTTGCCAGGCCAATTTTTGCCCCCGGGCCTTATGTTTGAAGCCTGTGGTTTCAATAATGTATGTGTGTTATTACATTGTCTTGTTACATTTTATCACTTGTCTTGTGTAACTTTAGAGCACCAGCACTTGCGTTACAACCCTCTTAGGGACAGCTGGGTTCTTGTGTCCGCCCACCGCATGAAGAGACCTTGGGCAGGTCAAGTTGAAAGACCACCTGAGGAGCACATACCAAGATATGACCCAAATAACCCACTTTGTCCTGGGAACAAAAGGGCAAATGGAAAGGTGAGAAGAGGCATTGAACAGCATTCTTTGGTTCTGATCACAACAAGTAGTAAATCCACAAACAAGGCATCCATTGGAAAACATATTGATAATGTCATGGATAGTTCATCTATTCGTCTCTCCATTTATTATTGATGTTGTGGACATTAACAATCATACATAATG